GTTGCAAACGTTTGCGACATATGTGCGCAGCGCTGAAGCGAGAACCCCATGTTGAAGACGCTCTTCCTTACACCCCTGAAACTGATGCAACTGTTTCCCACGAGTACGTGCGGCGCTATGGCGAGAACGACATGTTGAACAGAAACTGCCCCCCGACCCTGAAACCCCTTGTGGAACAACGAATGCGCGTGGCGCTCAGGCGAGAACTCTATTTTGAAAATTACCCCCTTCCATCCTTGAAAGTGCTGCAACATTTTGAAACGAATGTCGGCGGCGCTAAAGCGAGAACACACATTTGAAAAGGAGCCACCCTCAATCCGAGAAGCTGTTGTAAGCTGTCAGAACGAATGCTCGAGGCGCTAAAGCGAGAACGAACGTTTGAAACACATGACCCTTCCATCCGTAAAACGGTTGCAATTGTTTGAAATGCATGCGCGCAGTTTGAAAATCACCCCCTCCATCCGTGAAGCTGGCACAAATTTGAAGACGAATACGCCTGGCGTAAAAGCGATAATCACATTTTCAAGAAAAATAACCTCTCCATCCGTGAAGCTGCTGCACATCTGAAATCCCAGGATCTGAAGCTTCAGGATCATAAGTGGTGAGGAATTTTCAGGCGAAACACCCGCATTCGTAAGGGAAAGGGAATGGAGGAGCAGGAAGACGACGCTCCCGAGCTCCCAAGATTGCCACAAACCGCCCCAATGTGGTCGAAAAGACCCTAAAATGCCCTCAACAAGCCGAACCACATCCCAACATCTTCCCGGCATGGCAACCAGACGTCTCAGCCTGGGGGGGCTGCGGCAGAGGGTGAAACCCTCAATGTGAGGGGAAAGGCGCGACACGTGAAAACAATTTCCCGACACATTGCGCGCGAAGGGGAACGGTTTCGAGCAGCGTCTGCGCTTTGGTGGGGGATGGGCGGACCACAAGGCGAACAGGAAGGGCAACTAGGTCACCTATCCTCGCGCATGGCACCCCGCGATACGCAACGCGCGGCTACCGCACTGGAGAAAACTGCCTCTCCAACACTCGCCAAACCAAGCCGCAATTCGCGAAATGAGGTCATCTTCGCGCCCCTCGGGTGACTCAGGGCAAGGGGCCCATCGGGACGTAACTCGCCAGACTCACGCAGATGTCGCGAGGCTTGGAGCACGCAGCGGGTGAACACCCACAATGGCAGTCCTCCTGGCATCTCCTGGCCGTACCAGCGAACGACTAGCCACTCCGTGGGCCTTGCGCGCACCTCGACTGTGCAACGCTGTTGAGGGCGCATGTCCACGGGCCCAGCGCGCGCCTGAATATCATGGGGCGCAATGCGACGCTGGGAACGCCTGGCATCACTGCGGAACCTTGCACGAGAAACCCGCGTGCTTGCGGTGTCCCCAAGCACTACGCTCACAACGCCTGGTGTGCCGAGCTGGCGGGGAAGCAGAAAGGCAGCGCCACACGCGTTGCACGCTCACGAAACCTTGACTACCGCTCTCTGCTGGTCAGTGCCTCACGGGGAGCACCGAGAGCACTCGCGCCTTCCTGGTCTCGACCCTGTTGACTGCCGCAGCCCCGAAGATTGTGCCAATGCTGCTTTGTGGACGGGGGCTGCAAGCACAGCGGCCTGTGTGCAGTGTGAAGGGGTCCTGACGGGCAGGGAAACATCATCAGGTGAAGGGCACAGTGGAAAGATATCGGGGTGTGGGGGGCGACGGACTTCCGTCCATCCGTCCTCGCCCTCGCCCTCGCCCTCGCCCTCGCCCTCGCCCTCGTCCTCGTCCTCGCCCTCGTCCTCGTCGTCGTCGTCGTCGTCGTCGTCGTCGTCGTCGTCGTCGTCGTCGTCGTCGATGGGCATGTCGTTCCCCAGCGACAGCGTCGTCGTCGGTCGGTCGTCGTCGGGCCCGACAAAATTTCTGCCCGGGCACAGCACGGCGACGGGGCCGCGCCCGAGCCGCGCGGGGCGGGGCCGCTGCGGCTCGGCCGCGGCGGCCGCCGGGGGCGCGGGGGCCGCGACCCGCACACCGGCCGCCACGGCCCGGGCCGCCCGCGGGGCAGCCCCGCGCGCGGCCGGGCCGCGCGCGGCCGCGTGCCGGCCGGCCGCACGGGGCCAACGCCGAGCAGCCGCACAGGGCCAGGGCACAGGCGGTCCACGCCGCCCAGCCGCACAGGGCCAACGCCGAGCAGCCATGGGCCCAGTCGACAGCGTTCCCCTTGCAGCGGGCGCGCACGACAAGGGAGATCCTGCTGCGAGGAGTCCAGGGGCCCATCCTCTTCGTCGACTCCGGGCTCCGTGAGGTGCCCCAGGGCGCGGCATCGCGGGGAACGACTGGAAGCCACTCGAACGACCAGTCGGCGGCACGGTGCCCCTGCACCGCCACCACGACTTTGCTCGCTATACGGAGTGAGCCCCCCATGACCGGGCAGAGTCGCCAGGCGCAGAGGCTGGGCAGGCTACGTCGTGCCATGCGCCGTCGGGAACGACTCGAAGCCACCAGGGACGGGCAGAGGCAGGCGGCATGATGCTCTCGTGCCGCCGTCGCCAGCTTCGCCTGGATGCACAAGAGGTCGAGCGTCGTCAGACCGCCCCCCCTGCTACAAGCCGTCGTCCACGAACGTGCTGCTCGGCAGGCGATCCCCCTGCTGATGGAGAGGGAAAATGCTTGGAAATGTCGCCCGCGTCCTTCGGATTCGGCCGTTTGGGGGCTGCGCTTGCCCCAGGGCCCGCGACGAGCCAGTCCCAGGGAGGGGACCACGCGATGACAGCAAAAAGCACGACGTCGGAAGGCTGGCCATCCATCCCCACCAAGCCCACGCGTGGCTGCTCTGAGCCCAAATCGCGATGGGTATGATTGTCTGGCCCAGCCAGGAGCCGACATCCACCAAGGGCTTGATTGTCTGGCGCAGCCAGGGGCCGATATCCACCAATACCTGGACCCGTGGTGGGCGTCGGGCCTCGAGGTGGTGATGGACACTTTCCCTCTCCCGACCTGCGCGAGGGTGCCAGAAGGCGCCCCGATGACCCTCGCAGTTGCGGACACTTTTTCAGCAACTTCCCAGCCGATGCGCGTGGAACTGCAGCAGCCAAGCCACAGGACCGCCGCGGCACCGAGGGCCGCGAGCACCGAAGCGGCGCCGGCGATGAAGCCCGACAGAAACCTCGAGTCGGCGGCGGCCGCGCCGTCCGACGGAGCCTCCGAGGCCAGTCCCATGCCGTGGCGCAGCGCCGAATGCGTGCCACCAGGCTCTGCCGCCTCTTCCTGCCAGAGGAAAAAAATGAGCGGCATAAACATTTATCGGAGATCCGCTCGGATTTCTCGTACTGGCGCTGAACCTGGCGCGCGGAGCGCGCCAAAGGCTGCGCTGGAGGCGTCGCCAGGCGGGCCCATCGGGCGCGGCCTAGCCGACCCCTGGCGTGACCAGCACCTTCAGTGACGTCACCCTCGCCTTCCAAGCTTCCCTCCGGTCGCATACACACGTCTTGGGGAGAGGCGGGGGGACGTCACGGAAGGGATGGTTTGCCAGGGGTCGGTCAGGCCGCCCCTGAGCTCAGCGCCGAGCCGAGAACTCCGCGCGGGCCGTCGAAAATTTATGCTTCTGCCGTTCTTTGTTTTGGACGCCCGAGATGGGTACGGAAAAAATGGGTACAATGCCCAACAGCAAATGCTGTCCAAGGCCAACAGCGGCCGCTGTTGGGCAGGCGGCCGTCTGTCTCAAATGTACACAGGCCGCGGCAACACCGACAGCGAGTCCTGTTCGAAATGACTAGGAACTGCTGTTGGGCATTGTACCCATTCTTTCCGTGCCCATTTCGTTCGTGCCGATTTGTTCTTCGAGCCGCCTCCTCCTGCAGCGCCCCGGTGGCAGCGCCGAGCCCGCCGGACGAGCCCGGCCCCTCGTCGCCGCCGGCGCCTGCAGGTGGCGACATCCGGACCCCACCCCCACCAAGCATCGATTCTCGTGAAATCGATGGCTGGTGCGGGTATGGTTCGGATTGCGCCGCCGAGTGACGCCGACGATGACCTAGCAGCGGGCTCTGCCCCGCGGCCCGCTTCGAAACGGGCGACGCCCCGTCCTGCGGCGAGCGCAGGCCACGCTGGCAGCGACGCCGGCATGGTCGGCCCCGTTTGGCGGCGCGCACAAGTGAGTAAGGGGAGGGGGGGAGGCTTCTTAGTAGAAGGAAGCTGCTTCTCAGAAGGCGCGGGCCTTACATCTACAAATAAGGCTCGCGTCATCTAACAAGCAGGGGTGCTTCTAAGAAGCCTTCCCCCCCTACCCCCCTCTGCGTGTGGCTGACCCGTGCGCGAGCCCCCTGTGAACCCAACCTCTGGCACTAACCATGTGGGTCCAGATTTTCGGCTACACGCAAGAGTGACCCTGGGTAAGGATGACCTCTGGTGCGCGGACTCAAGGGGCGCAAGGTGGCCAAATCCAAGCGCACAGGTCGCCGCTAACGCATCTCGCTCAGCGACCGGGGGGCCCCGATGGACCCGCACCAAACCCAGGCCCCCGACGTCATGATCTTTTCACCGCGCGACCCCCAGAAGCTCGGACCCCTTCCCCGGGACCGGTTTCTCGTCCTGAGTCGTTTTCTGACGGCCCCAGGGCCCGCCAAGGGCCCCTGGAGGCCGAAAAAGGCGAAAAACTCCCGCCACGATTTTTTCACAGCGCCAGGGGGTCTGGGAAGGTCACTCCGGCGCAGGGCCCCTCCTGGCCATCGCTCGGACGTCCATTTCCTGTGCTTTTTTCGGTTTCGTGCGTGGTTTTTTCGCGAAATGATCAAGGATGCTCCTCGATGGTCCTCGCCGAAGGAACAATGCACACGTCCGAGCGATGCCCAGCCTCTCATGCCCGGCCGAGCTTCTGCCGCCGGCGCCTACCGCGCCAGCCTCCGGCGCGCTCCACGCCGCGGCCTCCCCCGGCGCCGGCCCCTCGATGGCGCCGGCGCCCGCCGCGGCCGCCGCCGCCTCGGGGGCCGCCTGCGCCCGCGGGCCCTCGGCAGCGGCCTCGCCCGCGGAGGCCCGGGCCTCGTCGGAGGCTGCCGGCGGTGCCTCTGCCAGGGCGCGGGCTGCGCCTCGCCATCGCTCGGACGTCCCTTCCCGGCGACTTTTGTTCGGCTCCGTGAGCGCATCTCTTGTTTTCTCTGCCCGATAGGATCCAGGGTGCTCCTCGATGGTCCCCGCCGAGAGAACAAAGCACACGTCCGAGCGATGCCAAGGAACAATTTTTGCCGTTCTCGTTCTGCTCCCGTTTTCCCGCGTTCCGTCTTCCCTCGTTCCCTCGTCCTGTTCTCGTGTTCTTTCTTTCCCGAAGCCTGAGACACGCACAGCGTCGGCCGACTGAACCTGAACTTTGCGCAGCGGTGGGCCGTCTATCGACACAACCTGCCACGATTCAACCGTGCAGCGCACTTGTGACGGAAATGTCGAATGTGTTCCCTCGCCTTGTCCGTGTTTTTCTAATCTCGCTGTTCTCGTCCTCCCTCGCTATGCCTGTGCTCACCGTTATTTGCGGGGTTCTCGTCGTCCGTCCGCTGCTGCAGAGCGAGATCAAAACGAAAACGGCCCAGGAAATCGGCCAAACGCCTCGTCGTCCCTCCGCTGCTGCCGAGCGAGCTCAAAACGGAAGCGGCCCACGACATCGCCTCTGAACACACACAGTTTGGCTCGCGCCCGGGTGCCTCTGCCCCTCCCTCTGCCGAGGCAGCTTCCGTGGCGGCTTCCTCCTCCGCCGCCGAGTCCTGGTCGTCCGTTCTCGGGGTGGCACTCCTTCGCCGGCGGCGACTGCTTGCCAGCGGCGGCTCCTCGTCGGCCGAAACAGAAGGGCACGCTTCCAACACAGATGAATCTCTGCGTGTCAGCTCGTGGTGTGAGTGTGTGTGTGTGCTCCATGTTCGATCGTGTGATGACTAGTCTCTCGCTCGCTCTCTCTGTCCCTCCAGTCGGGGTACTGGTAGGGCGAACACATACTCATAAGACGGTGCATATTCCCTTGCCCACTCCGAAGGACGCAGAACCATTCATATGACACCTGGCGTGCCAGCGTGACGTGCGGGACTGAGATAACACAATGATCTCAATGTTTACAAATGTCGCGTCGAATAATCAGATACGCTTGCAAGTGCCCACGGCGCTGAACAGATACCCACATCCGCCGCAGTGCCCCCTGGCAGGCTGCGTGGTAGGCTGCTGGCCCAAGAGGCCCCCCTAAGACGCCCCCAGAGGGCTCCAAGAGGACCCCGAGGATGCCAACACCATGTATTTCCCTCAGGCCTTTCAATAATTTTCGCGCTCTCGCAGGTCGGGCTTCCGACATCCGAAGACGGCCCCAGAGGCCCCCTCGATAGCCCCAAAACCTCCCCAAGAGGGCCCAAAGACAGGCCAGCAGGGCCCCAAGATGACCCAAGAGGCCCCCAAGATGGCCTCACAGACCTACAAGACGGCCCTAACGCGCCCAAAGATGGCCTCATGACGGCCCAGAGGGGCCCCCAGAACGGCCTCCGAAGGCCAAGAGGCCCCTTAGAGGCCCCCAGAAGCCCCAAGAGGCCTCAAGAGGCCCCAAGGGGCCCTAAGAAGCCCCCAAGGCCTCTGGAAGGCTCCAAGAGGCTCCAAAGAGGCCTCTTTGTCATCCTGCTTCTCCTCCTCCTCCTCCTCCTGCTGCTCCTGCTCATGTCCCTGCTGCTGCTGCTCCTCCTCCTTCTCCTCCTCATCCTCCCTCCCTCCTCCTCCTCCTCCTCCTCCTCCTCCTCATTCTCTTCCTCCTCCTCATCCTCCTTCCTCCTCCTCCTCCTCCTGCTCCTCCCCCTCTTCCTCCTCCTCCTCCTCCTCCTCCTCCTCCTGCTCTTGTTCCTGCTCCTGCTCTCCTTCTCTCCTCCTCTCGTCCTCCCGCAAGTGTTCCCCCGAGGGTTTCAACAACGGCTTGGGGAACATGTAGTTCGATACCTTGGCAAGACTTCGGTCCATCGCATGGACACATAATTAAGCGTTTCCACAAGGCAGGGGGTGGCGAGTGCTCGCCGTAGGCGTTTTCGATTGCTCAAGATGGCCGTGTAACTGTCCAACATGGCGTCTATCACATTTCGCTTCGATTGCCCCGGTGCCACCCAAGAAGCCCCCAGGAAGTTACTCTGACTGTAGAACCCCACATCAGAACCTTCCGAGCGAACCTGGAAGTAATCCTTATCGTCGTCCTTGTGACTGCGGATGCTTTCTTCCTGTCATCTTATCGCCCTTCTCGTTTTCGTCCTGGCGTTGGCCCTCCTCCCGCCCCCTGCTCTGCCTCCTCGTCCTCCTGCCTCTTCTCCCCCATCTACCACTTCCGTCCCTCTTGCAAGGGCCTCCTGCTGCAGCCTCTCCTCCTCCTGCTCATCCTGGTCCTCCTCCCTCGCCTCCTCCTCCTCCTCCTCCTCCTCCTCCTCTTCCTCCTCTTCCTCCTCTTCCTCCTCCTCCTCATCGTCATCACCATCACCACCGCCACCACCGCCGCCACCATCCTCATCCTCATCCTCATCATCCTCATCCTCATCCTCATCCTCATCCTCATCCTCATCCTCATCCTCCTACTCATCATCATAATCATCATCATCATCATCATCATCATCAGCATCAGCATCAGCATCAGCATCAGCATCATCATCACCATAATCAGCATCAGCATCAGCATCATCAGCATCATCAGCATCATCAGCATCATCATTATCATCATCATCATCATCATCATCATCATCATCATCATCATCATGATCATCATCCTCATCATCATCATCATCATCATCATCATCACTATCATCATCATCCTCATCATCATCATCATCATCATCATCATCATCACTATCACCATCATCACCATCATCACCATCATCATCAGCATCATCATCAGCATCACCATCACCAACATCAGCAGCATCAGCAGCATCAGCAGCATCAGCAGCATCAGCAGCATCAGCAGCATCAGCAGCATCAGCATCGTCGTCGTCATCGTCATCATCATCCTCCTCCTCATCATCGTCAGCATCATCATCAGCAGCATCATCACAATCATCAGCATCATCAGCATCATCATCTTCATCATCTTCTTCATTATCACCATCAGCAGCATCATCACCATCATCACCATCATCACCATCATCATCTCCATCATCAGCATCCCCATCATGATGATGATCAGCATCATCATCATCATCATCAGCATCATCATCATTACCATCATCAGCATCATGATCAGCAGCATCATCATCAGCATACTCAACGTCATCGTCGTCGTGATCGCCAGCGTCACCATCACCATGCCCATGACCATCACCATCATCATCACCACCATCACCATCCTCCTCCTCATCATCCTCAGTATGTTCATCATCATCACCATCGCCACAACATCATCATCATTATCATCATCATCATGATCATCATCATCATCATCATGCTCATCAGTATCATCAGCGTCGTCTCGTCGTCATCATCATCACCATCACCATCACCGTCACCGACACCGTCACCGTCACCACCATCATCATCAACATCACCATCACCATCATCATCATCATCGTCATCATCATAATCATCATCATCAGCATCGTCATCATCATCACCACAGTCATAATCATCATCAGCACCATCATCAGCATCAGCATCATCAGCAGCATCGTCACCATCGTCACCTTCATCGTCATCGTTATCGTCATCGCCATCGTCATGATCATGATCATCACCATCATCATCATCATCATCATCTTCATCATCATAATCATCATCATCATCATCATCGTCGTCGTCGTCGCTGTCGTCGTCGTCGTTGTCTCCATCATCCCCATCATCCTCAATTCATCCTCATCACGGCTCTCCAAGCATGGAAACATGAGGTGTCACACGTGACGGCCTCCCGTGCCCCTGGACCACTCGCCAACTGTAATGCTGGCCTTCCACGGTGGCTGGACTTGCCGCAGGCACCTGGATAATGATGATGATGATGCTGATGAAGATTAGAAAATTGGTGATGACGAGGATGATGGTGATGATGATGGTGGCGATGGTAAAAGTGATGATAACACTGATGGTGATGATGACGACCAGTGATAACGGCAGGATGGCATCAGTGAGAATGATGGCAGTGTGATTGCGATGATGTGAGGAAGGAGGAGAAGAGGAGAGGGTGTTCCGAGTATTCAGGACCCCCATTTAGGATTGGGGATTAAAAACTGGATTTGGTTCTCACCTTCGTTATTGTTGACAGGCTCAAAGACCTGACCTGGCAGGATCAAAGGAGCCGAACACGGCCCCAACTGGCCCAGAAAGCGCCCCCAAGGTCCCGACACGGCTTAGACGGGCCCCGAGGATCCAACTGAACAACCCCGAGGGTCTCACTCCCTTCCTCCTCTCCATCCCCCCCTTCCTCCCTCCCCCTCCCTCCTCCCTCCGCCCCTCTCCCTTCTCACCCCTCCCTACCCATGCCGAAAGCTTACCTTAACCCTAGAGGTGCTTCTTGTGCAGGACACATGGGGCGCTGGCAACAGCGCGCGCACGCGCACGCCCGAGGAGCACCTGTACAGAACCCTCCAGGGTCAGGTAGCCGGGTCGATACTGGCCCTTGCCTTGTCCGCCATTGACAACATGCACGTCGTGCGTGCGCACAAGAGGCACAAACCTATAGGACACAGTCCGACGGCAATGCCAGCGGTCCTGCGCGCACTCGCTCTCTCTGCCCACATTCTGCCTTACTGCTGTTTGCTGCTTGTCCTTCTTCCTCTTATTATTGCTGGTTCCTCTGCTTTTTCGCTTTCGCCAAGTCCACCCGGCGATTCGGCTGAGCGGCGGGGGTCAACATTCCCCTCTATGGTGTTGACAGAGGCCCTGACCTTCAGGACACAGCCCGGCAACAATGCCGGCGGACCTGCACGCACGTCCTGCGCGCGCGCATGAGGCGCATACCTCCAGGACGCAGCCAGGCGGCAATGCAGGCGGTCCTGCGCACGCTCAGTCTGTCCACTTCCTCCCGTCATGTTACCTTCTGTTTGTCCTTTTTTCTTCCCTTGCTGGCTCCTCTGCTTTCTCGCTCTCGCCAGGTCGACCTGTTGATTTGACTGATCGGAGGTCAACTTTCCCCTGTGTGCTGTTGATACAGCCTGGCGGCAATGCCGTCGGTCCAGCACGCACGTCATGCGTGCGCACAAGCGGCAGACCTCCAGGACACAGTCCGGCGGCAATGCTGGCGGTCCTGCGCGCGATCACTCTCTCTGTCCACATCCTACCATGTCTACCGCGTTGGTACTGCGTTCCCAACCGCCGGAGGCGGTTGCACTTGAGACGCAGAGCTCTCCTCACCTCCTACCCTCCGCGCGTGCGAAGGCAAGTTTCCCCCTCCTGGGAACAGCTCTCTCCTGTCTCCACGGTGAGAGTAGACTGGATATTTGTGGGCACGCAGGCAGCCCCATCCCCACACATGCTCGAGTGGGCCGTCCCTGGCCCTGCATCTGAGACTGGCAAATTAGGTGGGGGGGGTGCGCTTCCCTCCGATCGCCATCCTCACGCATGATGTCTCCCCCTCCACCACTCCACCCGCATCCCTGCCATCTGACTCCACCCTATCTTTGCCAGCTTTCTATGTTCCAGTGCCTCGACCTTGCCCAAATTATGCAGTCCTGCGCTCCACACCATCCTTCTCATCGGAGTCCACTCTGCACAGCTTGCATCTCTTGCCCGCTCTATACCTTCTCCCGTCGACCACGGTCTCCAGGTCGTCAGTTGGTGGAAGAACAGAGGGTCTGAGGAGTCAGGGGGGAATATGAGGACGTTTCCCCTCCCTTCCTCTGTTGCCTTGGCCCTTCCAGTCTGAGATCTGGGAGGGCGTCTCGCGAACGATGGATGTACTGAGCGAGTTTGTCCGGTGGCCGCCTGGCTCAAGCCCACAGCAAATATCTCAGGTTGGTGGTGCTGGGTGCCAGGTGCACCGTCCCCTGTTGGTGGTGCTGGGTGCCAGGGCCCAAGCATAGGTTTCCGCAGAAGTGTCCAGGCATCTGTGCCGTCAGGCTGCCCTCCCGTGGATCTGCATCCCGAGGCTTCAGGCTGAAGGCAGACGGAGTTGGGCGCCAGGCGATGCGCGCCAGGGTTCAAAAACCCACCTCTCGGTGGCTGCTTCCCGAAGTCCAGCCACCTGGGGACCTTCCACCCCAGAAGGAAGCGCAACGTCCTAGCGTCCTCACCCCTCCCCAGAGTTGCAGGGGAGGCCTGACCCAAGGCCTCACAGGTCGAGCTGAGCAGGTCAGGCGACAGGCCGGCCGAGGTTCCGCTTCGGAACCGACCCAGCCGCGAGCCGCAACACGCGCAACAACTCCCCTGGCCCCCCCTCCCGCCCTCCCCTGCACGCCCCAGGGGACCTCACCTCCCCCTCCCCTGCCCTCCCTCCCTCCCTCACTCCCCTGCCCTCCCTCCCTCCCCTGCCCCAGGGGACCTCCCCCTCCCCTGCCTCCCCCTCCCCCTCCTTCCCTCCCTCACTCCCCTGCCCTCCCTCCCTCCCCCCCTCCCTCCCTCCCCTGCACGCCCCAGGGGACCTGCGCCCCCAGCGCTGGAGCCGCGGCCGGCGACGCCGGCAAGGGCTCCGCCGCGGGGGCCGCGCCCGCGGCGCGGCGGGACATGGCGACGGCCTCTGGGGGGTCGGCTCGGTGTGCACGCGCGCGGCAGAGGCGGACCGCGGCGCGACCTTCACTGTGGGCGCGCGAGCGCGCCACACGCGCGCGCGGGCGGGCGAGCGCGCCACACTGGAGGCCTCCCAACCGAGGGCCGAGCAGATGGGGTCGGAGGATCGCACCGCATCGCCGATGCATCGCCAATGCGTCGGCGATGCATCGGCAACGTCGACGTAGAGAGAACCGGGCTCCACGTAGAGCCACATCGCCGATGCATCGGCGATGTGGCGCGAGGCCTCGACCCCATCTTCTCGGACCCCAGTTGGAAGGCCTAGGGCCTAAACAAACGTGCCACATCATAATGAAGGTCCCTCAGCACCGCGCCCGCTCTTCCGCGCGGCGCTCCAGGAAGCCACTCCGTCTCGGGCGTCGCGGTTTCTGTCTGGATGATCTGGCGTGCCTCTTCGGGCTCGGCCTTCGATGGCTGTCAGGGAACGGTCCCCGTGGTGAGAAGCTGGCCCCAGAAGGCCCCTCCGACGGAGCCTTCAAGAACGAATTCTGAGGGCAAGCTTCGGCAGTTCAGCAAGGGATGCCTGTGGGAGCATCTGAGGATGTGGATGTGTCCTGTATGAGGGGGTCGAGAACCCTGGGCCCAAGGGCTGGAATATTGGGCCCGCCGAAGGTAAACAACCAAAAGACTATACCTTCGGCGCCTCTCCGCCTTCCCCCCTTCACTGGGGGGGCGAGGACGAGAAAGGGGGGAGAATGAGAGAACCTGGAAGCTTGGGAATGGGCACCAACACCAACACAAACACAAGGGTTGGTTTACCTCCACCAGGGGACGATGATCCTAGATGCTGGCGTCGGCGGTGACCTTTCGGCCACCTGAGAGGCCCGAAGATTACCCATTACCGCCATCACCGAGATCGGGACCGTCTTCCCCTCGCTGGAAGCACCCCGCCGATGTTGGCGTCGGTGTCCACCTCTGGGCCTCCGAAGAACGCGGGGGAGGGGGGCGCTGAGGGGGGGGAGTGCATCGCATGGGGGGCGCATGGGAGTGCATCGCATGGGGGGAGTGCATCGCATGGGGGGACGCTGAGGGGGGGGAGTGCACCGCTGGGTACAGCGAAGGGCCCGTGCCTGCGCCCTCGGCCCGCGCCGCCCCCGAAGCCCTGCCGAGCCGGAGGGGGGCCGCGGGGCCCGCGCGAGAGGCTCGGCTCCTCGAGCGCAGGAGGGCCGACCGCGCTCGAGCTCGGCATGGCGGCCCTTCCCCTTGCTATATAGGGAAACAGACCATGACAGAAACATACAAAAAACCTCGGAGGTCCGCGCGGATGTCTCGGATCGGCGCTGGGGCCCCCCCTCCCTGGCGCGCGGAGCGCGCCAGGGGGCGGGGCGCCGGAGGGGGATCTCCTGACCCCGAGAATAATGTCGCAACTGCGGAGGGGGATCTACTGACCCGGGTCGATGCAGCCATGCAGGGTCCCGCGGTCCTGCAAGACCCGGCGCTCTGGCCGACCCTCCGTCTGCAGTGGCCTCCGTCTCTACCAGCTCGACCCCTCCTCCCCGTCCCTCCCCTGACCAGGCCAGAAGCGCGACGAAGGCCTGCAGATCTGGGCGCCGCCCCGCCGCTTCGGTGTTGACCTGGCCGGGGCCTGCACGATAGTCGGAGCTCCACGACGTGGAAGCGAATGCCTGGATGGACATGTCCAGATCTCCGTCTGCTCCCTTGGGCGCACATTCCAGGATGGGCATGGCAAGGCGTGCCCGTGCCAGCATGTCTGCGTCTTGCGCACCCCCCCTCCCCGAAATCGATCAGCGGAGCAAAAGCAGCGCAGGCCTTGGCCAGCGCTTCGCGTAAAATGAGCAGGTCGACGGTTCCCGTGGACCAGTGGTCCATGTCCAGCACCTCCATCCCGACATAAGGTAGCCCGAGCTTCATTGACAACTTCTCAAAATCCCAAGAGTGGTCTTTCTGCTGAAACTCGAGGAGAACCGTCCCTTGCTTGGCACAGATCAAGTTGGCAAACCCTGCGCCATGAGGCCCCATCACAAGGTCAGCGCCCTGCACTCTCCTGCACAGCTCTCGCGGCATCGGTGTCTCGGGATAGTCCGATATCACCTCGACCGACCAGGTGGCCAGCTGAGCCTTCACGACTCCTACGACCTCATCGTGGTTCACCTCGGGTGGCCGTCCACGGGACCAGGGCGCTTCAGGGGCGAGCCAACGAGGGGTGGGGATAGCGGCCCCAGAGGGCCCCCGTTAGACTGCCACCCCAGTTCCCCAAAAGGGCCAGACAAGCGCACAGGTCTTCGCCCCCCACACCCCCTGTCGGATCGCCCCTCCGCTCCCCTTGCCGCCCGCCCGATCACCAGGCCGCGAGTCTGCCCCGGCTTGCTCGCGTCGCGCCGGAAGATCAGCGCCGTGGGGGCGGGAGCCTCCGCGGGCGGCGGCGCTCCCTGCATCGCCCTCGGGGTGACCATCGCGCGCAGCTGCTGCACGGCGAAGGGCTCGGAGCCGCGGTCCCAGTTCATGCAGCCGTTGCTGGGGGGGAAGTAGGCGGTCCTGGCCCGCCACCACCCGTCCAGCAGGCGGTTGCCGTCGCCCGCGCGCGTCTCGATGCCGGCTAGCCGCGCCCACTCCTAGACGAGCGCGTTCCACTACTCGCAAAGTGACTACTCGCAAATGGCCTGGATCCCCCCCGGAGGATCTACGATCAATTCCATCAAAGCGGACATGTGTTTTTCGGACGTTTGCGAGTAGGCACTTTGCGAGTAGCGGAACGCGCTCGGTGAACTCCTGCGCCACCTCGTCCAACTTGCCGGTGTGGAACAGGGTGCGGTTGTCCGCGACCACAGCCGGGTGCTGCTGCCACATCCACGCCACCCTCGACAGCGAGTCGACGAGGAAGTGGAAGTACGCGCCCCACTGCGGCTGCGTGAGGACCACCACCACGTCCAAGGGGCCCGCCGCTACGCCTCTGCAGGACGCCAGGGATCCACCCACACCGATCCTGGCTGGCGAATCTGCTGGCCCAGTCAGGAAGGCGTTTGCTCAGCTCCTTCACCCAAGTTTGGCCTGGCAGAAATTTCCTCTGAAATGCCAAAACCCGAAATCACCGAAGGGTGAAAGTCGGAAAGACCCTGGGATAATTGTTCCGCACGTGTAAAGCCAATGGGATCATTGGGCCGGGATCTGGGACATGCCGGGATAATTCCCCCATGAGGCTTGCCTAAAGGCTTCTTACTTGGTAAGAGATTGGTGTCTGAGGACCCTACTTTGCCCGTTTCCCAAATATTCCCCAGGTTCCTCGGGTTCCTCGGCTTCCTCGGGTTCCCCAGGTTCCTCGGGTTCCCCAGGTTCCTCGGGTTCCTCGGGTTCCAGAGGTTCCTCGGATTGCCTGGCACTGGGTTTCTTGGGTTCCTCGGGTTCTTTGGGTTCCTCAGGTTCCCCGGGTTCCTTGTGTATCTTGGGTTCCTCGGGTTCCTCGGGTTCCCCAGGTTCCTCGGGTTCCCCGGGTTCCCGGGCAATGCCAAGCAATGCCAAGCAATGCGAAGCGATGGCAAGCAATGCCAACCCATGCCAAGCAATGCCAACCCATGCGAAACAATGCCAAGCAATGCTCAGCGATGCGCCCATGCAATAGGCTTTCCCCTAAGTAATTGGGATCGTGCTGGGTTCATATTTTAGCACGAACAACAAGAGGGATAATTTTAGCCCTGGAGTTAATGTAAACTATTACTGAGCAGAAAGACTCCCAGGGCCTAATTATCTCGCCGCTGGGGGAGCCCGACAAGGCTCTTTTTGCTCGGATTCTACAGGGGGAAGGGGGGGACTGATGCCATCTCGGCATGTCAACGGTCCTTCGAAATTTCAGAAGAAAATTCGTCACGGCCCTGCGCAAATTCCAATCGCTCTCCCCCAGAATGACCCGCGCGCCCCTTACGGGATCGCGCTGGCGACGACTCTTTCTTCAAAACGCTCGACGACGGGCGCCAGTCACAAGGCAGTCGCACAGGACAGTGGCAGCTACAGCATAGGGAGCGAGGAAGCTCTGTGTCAAGCACACGACGCTCTTATCGAGGCTCCCGACCTCACCAAGACCTGGCTGCCGCCCCTTTCCTTGTCGCCCCCTTCCTTCCTTTCTTTTTCCTGAAGCCGGCCGCGGTCCTCGCGGCGACCTGCTGCGCCTTCGAGGCCGAATCGCCCCGAACGGCCGCTGGAGACCTCAACGGCGACGTCGCGTGAGAACACAGTGGCGCATCAGCGCTCACGGGGTGCCCGAGTCGCCTCGATCGGCCGCCGGAGACCCGAACAGCGACGCTGCACGAGAACATAACGGTGCATCAAAACGGGCGCGCTTGGTTTATGTCGGGCGTGTCCCCCTACAGGGGGATTTTCGACGAGGAAAAAAAATACCCCCAAAATACCCCAAAAAGGTAACAAACAAAAAAAAAATATCAAAAAATAGTCCCCGGAGTATTTTTGGACTATTTTTGGACTATTTCGGGGATATTGTTCATTTTTCGTCGAAGATCCCCCTGTAGGGGGACAGGCCCGACTTAACGCTTGGTGCCGGTGACCATGCACGCGGCGCGCGAGCGGCACCGGGCACGGCATGGCAGGGCACGCGGGCATGGGCGCGGGGCTTTCTTCGCATCCCACAGGCCGAGGAAAGCACGGCACGACACGGCACAAATGTCGCCTGCTGAAGACTCAGGGCGGCGCAGCACGCAACGTCACGGCACTGCGGCCGGCGTCGGCCATCAGCGGTGAGGGTTACGAGGAAATGACGCAATTCCTGATCGCCGTGACTAGAGCTTCCTCTTGCATGCAAGGGCCCGAAATCACCGAAGGGTGAAACTCGGGAAGACCGATTTCTTCACATGAAACACACACATGGGAAGACTTCAGCCCGGGATCAAATGATAATTACGTCAGCACCAGGACCCCAAGGGCCTAATCACCCCACCGCTGGGGGAAGCCCGACAAGGATTCTAAAGGGGGAAGGGGGGGCCTGATGCCATCTGTGCACGTTAACGACCTTTCCAAACTTCGAAGGAACTTTCGTCACGGCACTGTATACAATCAGGACGCTGAAGTGAGGACCGCTTTGGGTTCAGGAAGGGCTCGGAGTTTCGGGCCGCTCCTTCGACTTGTGTCGTGGAACATGTCTGTCGCCTAGGCCCGCCATGGCTAAAAAAAGCCCCCTCGTCCTCGGCATGCGTTCCTTGTAATGGTAGCACGATGCTTGGGAATCTACTGGCCCAGGTCAATTCAAATCCGGGTCAGTCGGGCTTTGCAGGATCCTGCGCGCTGGGTCAATGCAACCCTGGCTCTGCAGGATCCTGCAAGATCCAGCGCTCTGGCTGACCCCCCGTTTGCATTAACCCCCGTCTCGAGGCGCCCGAGATGACTGTTAGATTGCATCCCTGGGTGCAGAGAATCGATTGGCAGACACGGCGCGGAGGGCATGGTTCGCCCCCCCTGGCATCCGACGTCCTTCAAAAGCACGCCGCCGCCGTGATGCCACCACGACCGGAGCCGTCGGCCAAATTTTCGTGCGTGATCGCTCGGGCTGCTCCAGGGGCAACAAAAACAACAAGGCAAAAACGCCCGCCGCGTCTTTTGTCCGACGCGCCAGGATGCGAAAGCGTAAACGCAGGTCGGTGTGCACGCACATGCCAGCGTGCACATTCCACATCCCGCAAAACAGCCGAAGCTCGGACCTGAAAGCCTTTTGTGGCATGCACTGGAGAAGGGGGAGCACACGCGACCACAGCTTGTTGGCGGCACGCACAAGGGGGCAGAGGGAGGGGAGAAGGCTTCTTAGAAGGAGCCCGCTTCTTAGAAGGCGCCGGCCTTACATCTATGGATAAGGCCCGCGCCTTCTACGAAGCAGGGGTGCTTCTAAGAAGCCTCCCCCCCTCCCCCTACCCCTCTCTGCGCGTGGCCAAGCCTGAGATCAGATGGGAGAGGTGGATAGCTCCAGAGACTCTGGGCACATCAGCGCTGACCTCTTTCAGGCGGGGGGGGAGGCTTGAACGTCCACCAACTTCCGCGAGACGCGCGCGCCACCTTCCGCCTGCAGAGCCGCCCTGGCTTATTTCCGCCAGCTTCCGCAGACCTTCTGTCGGCCTCCGCTCCTCGAGACCAGCTACTCGACTTATCGACGGCGGGGAACTTCTTCTGGAGCGCCCCTGCTGGCATCCCCCCGACGAGAGAGGAGGGTGGCGGAGGAGGGAGGAGGAGGAGGAGGAGGAGGAGGAGGAGGAGGAGGAGGAGGAGAGGAGGAGGAGGAGGAGGAGAGGAGGAGGAGGAGGAGGAGGAGGAGGAGGAGGAGGAGGAGGAGGAGGAGGAGGGAGGAGGAGGAGGAGGGAGGAGGAGGAGGAGGAGGAGGAGGAGGAGGAAGGAGGAGGAGGAGGAAGGAGGAGGAGGAGGAAGGAGGAGGAGGAGGAGGAGGAGGAGAGGGAGGAGGAGGAGGACGCCTGGACACTCGGAGATGGTGCGCTCCCGGCAGCTCTGGTTGTCCGCCTCGGAGGGGCCGGGCCCGTGCGGCACGCAGAGCCGCTCGGTGAGCCCGGGGACGCAGTACGGCGTCCTTGGGCACCAGTGCCCCGGGCCCCGCGGCCGTGAGGGGGAACGTGATATGGGGGGGGGGGGGGGGCAGAGCGGGAGGGTCCAGAGGAGCAGGGGGAGGAGGCAGATGAGCACGTTCAGGGAAAGCGGGGTCATCAGGAGCAGGAAGTGCAAGGAAAGAGGCGCAGGAGGGAGGAGAGGATGAGGATGAGGATGAGGATGAGGCTTGAGGATGAGGTTGAGGATGAGGATGAGGATGAGGATGAGGATGAGGATGAGGATGAGGATGAGGATGAGGATGAGGATGAGGATGAGTATGATGAGTATGATGATGATGATGATGATGATGATGATGATGATGATGATGATGATGATGATGATGATGATGATGATGATGATGATGATGGTGCTGATGACGAGGCTTGAGGTTGAGGTGGAGGTTGAGAATGAGGTTGAGGTTAAGTTAGAGGATGAGGATGAGGATGAACATGAGGATGAGGTTGAGGATGAGAGGACGGATGAGCATGAGGTTGAGGTTGAGGTTAAGGATGAAGATGCTGATGATGATGATGACGCTGATGATGATGTGTATGATGATGATGGGGATGATGAAGACGAGGATGATGATGATGAGGATGATGCTGATGATGAGAATGATGATTATGATGATGATGATGCTGATGATGCTGATGATGATGATTATGATGAGGATAGTGATGCTGTTGATGATACTTATGGGGATATATATGATGATTATGATTATGATGATGCTGATACTGATGCTGCTGCTGATGATGATGATGATGGTGGTGATGATGATGATGATGATGATGATGATGATGATGATGATGATGGTGAGGAGGAGGAGGAGGAGCAGCAGCCGCATGTTGCTGCTGCTGCTGATGCTGCTGCTGCTGAGGAGGAGGAGGAGAGAAAGGGACAAGAACAGGTAGGGACGAGGAGGTCGAGGAGGCGGAGAAAAAGAGTAAGGATGGAGGAGGGCCTCCTTCCTGGCCCCGCGGCGCGAGAATATAACGGCCGGCTATTGGTTGTCAGTGGCTTAGAGCTGTTCTTTGGGGCGTGAGTGGCTTGGAGCTGTTCTTCTTCCAACCGCCTTCTTCCCCTTCGGGGAGGGGTTTGGGCGACCAGCAGCCAACCAACAAGGACGACCCATGCCGACCCCCCTCCACCATCCCTGCCAACTGATAACACAGAATGCACGACCCCCCCTAAATCTGGAGCATGCGCGGGCGCCGCGCGATCACTTTGCATCGTTTTTGACCAAGGCGGCGGGGGGGTGGGCGCATATTGCTTGCTGCGCGGAAGCCAACAATCCGTGTCGCAAAACAGCGCAACATGTACTTGGCCTCCAAATCTGGAGCATACGCGGGCGCCCCGCGACCCCTTTGAATTGATTGTTCGCAGGGACGGTAGGGGGGGCTCATATTGCTTACTGCGCGCAGGCCAACAATCCCTGTCAATTTACAGTCCGCAACAGTGTCCCTTGGCAAGTTCAGGGGTGGAAGAATGCCAAGGTCTGTCTGGCAAGGTTGTATTGCATAGTTCTAACAAGTGTTCCTCCCCCCCCCCTACCCGCAGGCTCCTGCGTGTGTCGCCCCTCCTTTTCGAGGCCACTTCCCTCGTGCCCGCTCGAGGATGGTGCACTTCCAGCATGGCAGTTGATGCCTGGACAACCCTCACTCCGCGCGTGCCCGCTGGAGGATGGTGCAATTCCCGCATGGCAGCTGACGCCTGAACCCTCATCCCACGCGAACCCGCTCGAGGAGCGTGCGCTTCCCGCATTTCCAGGCGCTGCCCCCACGCCCTCCAGAGCCTCCCAAGCCACGATCACTCATTCAAGATGATGGGTATGCGTCTCGAGCTTCCAAGACGGACCGCGCAGGCAACCAAGGACACCAAGACGGCCCAAGATGGCCGCAAGGCGGCCGAACATGGATTCAAGACGGCCCGAGATGCCTCCAAGAGGGTCCAAAAGGGCCACAAGAGGACCTCCAACAGGGTCCGAATAAGTTTAAATCATTGATTGCCCTATGGTTTTTGAATGATTTTCGCATTCTCGCCTTTTCGAGCTGCCATCAGCTCAAGACGGCCCAAGAGGACTCCACGATGGCCCAAGAGGCATCCAAGACGGCCCAAGAGGGCCTCCCGTGGGACCCAAGATGGCCTTAGAAGGCCCTTCGCCGGCGACAAGACGGCCCCACGACGGTCAACAGACACTCACCATACGGCCAAGAGGGCCTCAAGACGGCCCAAGAGAGCCCCAAGCTGGCGTAACAGGGCTCCAAGACAGCCCAAGAAGGCCCCAAAGGGACGTCCAAGACCGCCTCACGGGAGGCCGAGAGGGCCCCAAGGCGGCCCAAACGGGGTGCATCATCATCATCATCATCAGCAGCATCATCAGCAGCAGCATCAACACCACCAAAACCAGCATCATCATCATCATCATCATCATCATCATCATCATCATCATCATCATCATCATCATCATCATCATCATCATCATCATCATCATCATCATCATCATCATCATCATCATCATCATCATCATCAATCATAATCATCATCATCATCATCATCATCATCATCATTATCATTATCATCAGCATCATCATCATCACCATCCACATCATCATCATCACCATCATCGTCATCGTCATCGTCACCACCAGCAAAGGCATCAACACCAACATCAACGTCATCATCATCACCATCATCATCATCATCGTCATCGTCATCACCATTATCATCATAATCAGCATCATCAGTATCATCATTATCATCATCATCCTCATCATCACCATCATGAGATCAGCCAGCGTTGACTCCAAATAGATTAGACGACTCAAATCAAGGAATCAGAGGAATCGAGCATGCTTGGAATCCGCAACTCAGCAAGTAAGCAAGCGTGCAAGCAAGCGCGCAAGCCAGCGCGCAAGCAAGCAGGCAAGCAAGCGAGCAAGCAAGCGTGCAAGCGTGCAAGCAAGCAAGCAAGCATACATAAGGGGGGAGCTATTGGAAAAAAGGGGGATGGGCATAGGCATAGGCATAGCCATAGGAATTAGGGGAAGGGGGGCATAGGAATTAGGGGGGAGGGGGGCAAAGGACCAAATAGTAGGATTTGAGCTAGGACTCCTATAGGGCAAGCCTATTTCGAGAATAGTTAACGAATTCGTCATCGTCATCCTCGTCGTCATCATCATACTCCTCCTCCTCCTCTTCCTCCTGGTCCTCTTCAATATCATCATTGTCACCATTATCATCCGTATCTTCTTTATCATCCGTATAATCAATATCGTCGTCATCACCATCACCATCAACGTCACCACCACCATCATGGTCAGCAACATCACCATCTCCATCACTATCATCATCTTCACCACCGTCATCACCATCATCACCATCGTGACCATCATCACCATCATCATCACCATCATCATCATCATCATCACCAGCATCATCATCATAAGCATCAGCATCAGCGACATAACCCTCATCCACCTCATCATCCTCACCGTCCTCAGCAGCCTCCTCCCATCATCATCATCATCATCATCATCATCATCATCATCATCAACAACAACATCGTCATCACTATTATTATTATCATCCCCATCAGCAGCATCAACACCGTCATCGTCATCATTCTCGTCATCTGCATCGACATCGACATCGGCATCGTCGTCATCATCATCAACGACGACAGCATCAACATCAACAGCTACATCATCATCAACATCCCCATCAGCAGTATCACCACCATCAACATCAACATCATCATGACCATCGCCATGACCATTCCCCCTGAGGATCATCATGAACAGCCACATCATCATCATCACCATCATCATCACCATCATCATCCATATCATTATTATCACCATCACCATAATCATCACCACCATCATCATCAGCATCATCAACATCGTGGTCACTACCACCACCATCATCATCATCATCATCATCATCATCATCCTCTTCCTCATGCTCATCGTCACCATCACCATAATCATCATCATCACCATCCACATCATCATCAGCACCACCATCATCGTCATCGTCATCGCCATGACCAACAAAAACATCAGCATCGAAATCAACGTCATCACCATCAACATCATCACCATCATCATTACCATTACCATCACCATCACCATCATCATGACCATCACCATCACCATCATTATCTCCTCCTCCTCCTCCCTCTCCTCCTCCTCCTCCTCCTCCTCCTCCTCCTCCTCCTCATCATCATCATCATCATCATCATCATCATCACCCCATCATCCTCATCATTCTCATCACGGCTCTCCAAGGCCTGGAAGCACGGGGTGTCACACGTGAAGGCCTCCCGTGCCCCTTCAAACGGTCGCCACCCAGAATGCTGGGCTGGCACGGTGGCGGGACGTGCCGCATGCAGCTGGATCCGCCGCCCCCTGTCGATTTCGCAGGGGTGCCTGGCGTGCCGAATCCTATCGGCTTGGGTCTTGGTTCTTTTTCCACAAGAACTGCCCCTGGGGCTCTGGCGCGTCCCGCCGGGGTCCCGGGAGATTCCCGAAAATCCGTCCGTCAATGCCTTTGTTGCCCCAAGTTGGCCCAAGATTGCCTCCCAGATGGCCAAGATGGCCCAGGATGGCCTCCAAAATACATCCAAGACAGCCAAGATGGTCTCAAAGACGTTTAAGATAGCTCCAAGATGCACCCAAGACGGCCCAAGATGGCCTCAAAATGGTCTACGACGGCCCAAAAGGCCCGCAAGAGGCCTCCACGACGGCCCAAGAGGCCTCCAAGACGTCCTCCAGGAAGGCCCGACGAGGCCAAAATCATTGATTTCCCTTGGGTTTTTGAAGGATTTGGGCATTTGCTTCTTCTCGGCATTCCGACGGCTCAAGACGGCCCAAGACGCCCCCAAGATCGCCCAAGAGGCCCCCAAGAGGGCCCGATGACGGCCCAAGTGGCCTCCAAGACGGCCCCAAGAGGGCCCCCAGACGGCCCAAGAGGCCTCCA